CTCAATCTTCGGGTTTTCCAATACCAACGGACTCATCTATAAACTCGCTCGTTTCCTTCGCGAGAATTTTCTGCACATGTCCTCTCTGACAGCGCCAGATTTCATCCCAGCTACCCTACTTCCTCTTATGGATTATTCGACGATCCTTTTATTTTTTTTTCTATCGCTTATTCTATCTTTGCAAAAACGCTTAAATGGAAAATAAGAAGAGGAACATTTATTTGATAATATTCCAATTATGCTACTTAGAAATAAAGTTCATTATCTTCCTTAGTGAAAATTCTGTAATTCGACATTTCCAGAATTTCTATTAAAGTACGGAATTGTAAAGTAATACCTAAAAGATGGGGAAAAGGGAAAATGAATCTGTCAAAATAATGGATGAGGTTATAATATAATAAACAAAAGGAAAAATCATTTTAATAGGTGATAACTTATTTGTCAATAGAATTATATAGTTGAATTCATACGGTATATATATATATATATATATATTTTTGTTTATAAATATCTAGATTAATCTATCTAAATTAGTAGTTAATCTAATATCTATAGATATTTAGATTCTAAAATCAATAATAGATTTGATATCATTCTAATGCTTTTAACGTGGTTAATAAGATTTGAACAACGTAGTGTAAAGTAGGGAGCAAGTATGGGAGGAAGAATATAGAGGTAGAAAGTGGGTATATGTAAGCTCGTACGGATTATTTCCTTCAGTCTCCCATTTTGCCTAGTATAGTTCGGTGTCTTCATGCTAGTTCTCTACATACTATTTACATCTTACATAGCTAACAACGTATACCACTATTTATTATTTAAGCTTACTGCGACATATATTATCAACTTATCTGTATGTTATCCTTGTTATACTGAATCAGTTTATAATAAATTTTATTCGTTTTATCAGATGATAAAAAACGTACAAACAATTTCGGATAATTTTAAGAAGAATCAATTGAAAAATTGTGCTTATTGTCATCCAATTTACTCGAAAATTATATTGAATTTCGAATTAATGGTATACGTTTTTCGTAAGACTTAAATTTTGAATAAGGTTCAACGGGTACTTTTTGGTTAAACTAGTTTGTTACAGCAATTTTTGCTAGTATGCCGCATCGAATTAGAACAGCCCTCTTGCGAGAATAAAAACGAATTGTATATGCTAGTACTTGAACTCTCGAGGCATATTAGAAAGATTCTTTGGTAATTTAACTAGCTTAACTAGCTGTTGCAATTTAAGTTCGATGCTCCGAGGTGTATTGATCTTATATAATTTTAATTTTGTTTCTTTAAATTGCATTTGTTTTTTTTTTTTTTTTTTTTTTTTATAGAATCATCTCAAATTTATTAATGTGTAATTTTAAACGATAAGTCGAGAAAATTGTATTATTGTATTAAATAGTATTACAAATAGGATAGAATTAAAATGATTAATTTATTATTATTATTATTATCATTATTATTTGTTAAAATATCATAGATTTGTTGACCTAGTTTTATATTTTGTATGTAATCACGATCGTTTTTAAATTGGGATATTTTCTATCTGTAGCGAGCCAAGGCAGAGAAATTCAAATACGAGCTTGCTTTTATCGTTCGAACTAACATCGATCAATACCAACCAACGAGTACATATACTCGTCAAAGTTTTTCCTTCCTATGAAACAGAAATGTACTCGATCTCTTTTGCCTGATGTCTTGTTGATTTTCAAGGATTTGCAGAAGCGAGACGTGAAGATTGAGAAGCCTAAATTTTCCATGCGTATCTACACTTTCAAGAGCGAGGAAATTCGTTTAAGCGACGGTATACTCACCAGCGATGCTTTAAATTGGACATTTTTTAGTGTACACGTCATATGAATTCACAAAAAATGTTCATTCGTTCATTCTTTTTATCTCTCTCTCTCTCTCTCTCTCTCTCTCCCTCTCCCTCTCTCTCTCTCTCTCTCTCTCTCTCTCTCTCTTTCTCTCTCTCTCTTACTCTTTCTATTCTCTCTTTTTTTTTTCTTTTATATTCATAAAAGCTAGTTAGCTGTCGTCACATACGAGGATTTTATAGCGTAATAGAGAGAGAAATACTACGTTCTGTTTATCGACACTACATTTATGAAGAAGAATATGAAAGAGTTTTTATTTTTCTCACATTTTTTTTTTTTTTTATATATATATTTTCATAAATTTAATCGTAATTCCTTTCAGGCATGTAAAATTTTAAAAAGAAAAAAGTATTAATTATTGTTAAAGAGAAATAGAAGTATATGTATAAATAAAATTTGTAGGAAAAGTTGAACGTATAAATATGAATTTCTATTCGGAAATATATTTTTCCATAAATATTTTTTCGTTTGGTAAACTATATTTTTTCGTTTGAAATCTAAAACACGAGTATCTACACTTGCCAACGTTTCGTCTATCAAATGAAATTGGATTTTTCCTCTTCGTGATACTTTTTCTGTGACATTTTAAATCATTTGCTAAAATTTTTTTTTTTATTATTGAAAACTGTGGTATTGGTGAAAGAGTAAGCGTTGTGAAATCAACGAGACCCGCGACCCGCAGAAATTATCGGTGGTACGATGAGAACACCGTTTTGATATATCAAAAGAACTGTTATACTTTATTTATTAAAAAGAAATCAAATTTTTAACAATATGAATTTTTTCGACGAAGCAAAAAACTTTCTCCCTTCATTCGGAATTTTACATTTTTGTTGAAATTCTGATTTTATGTAAACAGAATAAAACAGCAATTTAATTAATGAGAAAATTAGGCAGTTTGTTTGCCTCTACTCTTTTCCTTTCTATCTTCTCATTTTCTAATTCGGTTCGTCAGCTTGATATTCATACGTTTATCAAGCTTTACCGTTTTTCTTTTTCCTTGTTTCATCTTTTTTACTCGTCAAACCTTGAATCGTAATTTTCTATGTTTTTTTTCCTTATTAACAGCAAATTTTTTCTTCGCCACTCTAATATTAGATTTTTTATTAATTCAATTTTTTGTTTCTCTCAGAAACACTTATACGCAGAGTACAATCTTGTTCGTCAAAGTTTGCGAATTAGTCCGGAACGCAGAACACGTGAGAGATTGCTTACGTTCAAAGCTTTCGAGTAAGTTTTTGTATGTCTTTTATGTAGGCGATATAACTCTTTTCCTGTTAGTCGCTTCTTAACTTCATTAATACATTCCTTTTGTTCACTTATTTAGGTAAACGAACATTTTAACATTTTGCAACTCTATTTTAATACTGTTAGAATAAATGCCGCCGCTTTCGTTTAAATGTTCTCATTTTAAAGCGTTGCTTTTGTTAAAAAGAATCTTCAGAACAAAAGGCATGTTATTAAATAAACGCAAGATATTTATCAATGTATATTGATAATAAAGACAATTATATAAACTAATATCAATATTCATTATTATTAAAAATCAATTTTGATAACATATTAATTATTTAAAGTTAGCGTATTATTCCTTATTTTCTCGAGTTTGTTAGCATAATTTATTTATTTTTTTTTTTTTTGATAATGAACGTGAATGATTTCATATACTCAATTGTATTTTATGGTATTGTAACATTCGTCTGGTATATATAGGTCCTTTATAATACTGTTGAGCCTCTGACAATCAACGTGTCACGCTCGTGAAATGTTCTGCGAACATTGAAGACGTCTAGCACGAATGGTATACGTGTGACGCGCTATTCTCTTGTAGTCGATTGCTTTAGAGTTGCTATATCGACTGTATATATGTGTATATTTCCGTAACGCACGTGAGAACGTTTGCGTATATACACACGTAATGAAATATATATATTTAATAACTAAATGAATCGCGTGCTGCAAGTAAATGCTTACGTACGAACTACAATATAATTACATACTCGTCAATGACTAAATGATTTCGACTTTTTTTCGATCAGCACGACTTATACAACACTTTGCTAATATATCCCTGGTACCTAAATATATGTAAGAAATATTGATTTAAGTATAAAAATGAATATAATTTCGTCTATTATAATCGCTTGTTAGTATTTGAGATTGTATATAATATTCGTTGTGTTATATAAAGGTTGGAATATTAATTTTGTTCGTAAAATTATATTGTACATTAATTATTATTACTTTCGTTTGAATTAATTAAAAGATAATAGGTAAAGAAGTTTTTAATATAATATTATCGGATTACTCTTAACGAATAAGAAAGAGTAAGAAAGTAATTAATGAATAGATTACTATCGCTTAATTTATAACCAATACCATTTTTCTATTCGTTGATTTGAAATCAGTTTTTCTTATGCAATCGATTTACTTAGATTTAGAGATCGGTCCGGGTTTAAGAGATTTCTCGAGTCGAGTAAAAGAAAGAGAAAGAGAAAGAAAAGAATATACGTCGTTCTTTGTACAATCCGCCTTCTACTTTTCTCTCCGGTTCTTCTTCTTCCACCACGGACTAGTCTTGCCGTTTTATCTCTTGAGGCTTTCTCAGCGATTAAACGTAGCAAAAGAGATTGAATGTGGCAAAGAAAAAGTGGAAAAAGGAAAAAGAGGGAAGAAAAAAAATAGGCGTAACCGTAGTTTCGTAAGATTTTTCGTTTACTTTCGACGTTCGTTTCATCTATCTTCAAAAATATATTTATACATATCTCTCCATATGGATGCAAGCGTAACCTATCAAAGTAATGTACGTACGTATTTTACAATCAGTTCCAATTGAAAATCAAATGAAATTTGCTATTGAATCTTTTTTTTTTTTTTTTCTATTCATTTATCAAAATATTTAATAAATATTTTGTATTGGTGCCCCTGGCCCCGTTTTTTTTTTTTGTTTTTTTTTTTTTAATAATTTATAAAAATTTCTATATTAATTTTACATGAATCTATTATACTATAAAATGCGAAATAATCTGTTACGACATTCCGTACGTTTTTAAATTAAAATTGTCCGTATCATGTCGAGAACGAATTCGGTATAACGAGTTTCTATCGTTTATTTTCCAGAACACGCGGCCTGAAACTGAAAGCGTGACTTATGAACGCCAGCCGAGATAAAGGATCTTGATACGAATTTGTTGGAGCTTGGCTTTTACGTAAGTAGTTCAAGGATACTATAAAATTTATGCATATATAGTATTACATATTCATATTCGTGTTATCAATTGCAATTTTAGGTTTTTGCATTGCGAAAGGTTTATAAAAAAAAAGTGTTTTATTTGAAATAATTTTTTTTAAGTTTGTATTATTTACTCTCGTGTATATTAAAAAAAAAAATATTTAATATGAAGGTTAATCTTACGATGTTATGAAACTATCATGATAGCGTTTAACGGTTTGTTACAAATACGTGTCTCCATGAATCGGTTGCAACAAAAGTTATTTCCCTTATCTTCAATTTATAAACGAGAAATATTTGATCTACGCTTTTCCTGTCTCAAATTCTGTCAACGGAGAATTCGATAAGCGATAAGTCAACTAGATAAAAAGAAGGTCGCGATATCGGTAAATTTATATATTTGATTTCACACGGTTATCTATATTTTATTACGGACCACTATCGGTTACAATAGTTCAATAGTAGATATTTTTATCGTCCCCATGAGAGAGAGAGATCTTTATTTCCTAAAGATAACCGTGTTCATATTATATTCTCATTTCCTGTTTATATTGTTCGTGAAATATTTACGTGAAAAAGATAAGTAAAAATTCGTTTCGTTTCTGAAATATTAAATATTGTAGTATCGATAAGTCAACGGAAGAATTTATTGAAACCGTCCATTTGTATATGTTACAATCATAGCCGGAAATCCGCCATTGCTAGTAATTCCTCAGCATTCTCATCAAAGCAAAGAGCATACCGATGAAGTCGGAAACAGAAGAATTCTTACAGTTTTTCCTAAACATTAAACATAATACTTTGATATTCTATAAAAAATCAAGTTACTAATTAAACAACGTTGAAAAGAATACATTCTCGGGCACAGACACACACAGCCATATGCAACCCCTCCATCCAAAACAATCCGTACAGGTAAAAAACATTTCGTTCTAAACCTGTGTATCTTCCGATACGGTAGGGAACTCCATGGAAATCTCTATGAATATCTGTTTAACTAATGTCTAGAAAATAAAATAACTCTGTAAAAAGTCTTATTTCCGACTTCGTCGGAAGGCGCTTTGCATTGATAACAATGCCGAGGAATTACTAGCAATGACTGATTTCCGGCTTCGACGGTAACATATATATAATTATTGGATACGTTAATTAATTTTAATACGGAATTAAAATCGGGTATCAATCGTATTTCAAATTCAGACGCGAGGAATTAAGAAGAAGTAGTTTATTTTTGCTAAGTAACCAAAAAGTTAGATTCGATCGATCGAAAAGATTTAATCCTCTTTTTGGCTGCGTCCGTTGGAAATCACTGTGTGTACCAAAATATCGATATTAATGTTAGAATGTTGGTGCTTCGAAAAAAATTTAAAAAAAAACATTTTGTATAGCGAGATGATTTGGACGGGGAAGAGAGAAAACGGGAGAAAAAGAGAGCAAGCTTTTTAGTTTTCTTTCTTTTATCTTTTTTCTCTCTTTTCTCTCTTTCGGCCGTTTTACAGGATTCTTGGTGGAATGCGAATTGCGATTGTTATTTGGCTCTCTCTATCTCTTCTCTCTCAATCTCTCTCAATCTCTCTTTATCTCTCTTTCTCTCTTTATCTCTTTTTCTCTCTTTCTCTCTCATAACATTCAACCGAACGAAACGCAAAGCACACGTGGTACACACGAAAAGGGGAATCGCGTTGCTTGTTGCATTTAAAGGAGGTCGATTGATTTTTTGTTCTTCGAAAAGCATGGCAACGCACATATGGAATGGAAACAAAGTTTCTAGTCATTTCTCTTTTTTTCTCTTTTCCTACGGTATTTATATGTATATTTATGTATTTATATTTCTGCGCGTTTAATTGGTTTTGTGTATAATAAGTGTATTCATATATTATATCTCTCTAATGAAAATTCAATACCTTCTCTCTCTCTTTCATTGGTATTATAATATCATTTAAATTATTTAAATAATCAATAACTATGTATAGAATCGATTGATGATACAAAATATGTTTTAGTTAAGTAAATAACTAATTAGTTGAATTTCCGCTGTGCCAAAGTTGAAAGCAGCATACGTATAATAGAGTGCATAAAAATGCATTGTTATTTTATCTTAAATGAGTCTGTGATCGTTATGCGAGTATTCAACGTACTAGCAGCACATATTTTCAGAAAAGAAAGAAAATAATAAGAACGAAGATATTCAACCTTTGAAAATGTCGATTTGAAATAACGTGAACGTAATTAAAATCACATATCAGCACATTTTTACTTGGCCAATGTGTCAGGTGAACTAGATAATTTCATTTTTAAATATAAATTTAATTATTGAATTTAATTACTTGACAATTTATGATCGATAATCGTAAAAGAGCATTTTAAATTCTTTCATAGATAAATTTATGAGTTTTTCATAGAAATTAATGGACAAGTATGGATGGAATAAAAGTAATGGATAATGTATTCATGATCAAAGCTTCTAAAGTGCGGAAGATTAATGAAGTGCATCTAACTCGTATTAAAAAATAAAAATGAAAAACAAATAATCCAGATGTAAATTAGCAGGTATAAAGTAATAAACTCCTTAATTGTTCGGAATACAAACAATTCGCTGTTAACATCCTGATCTTTCAAAGTTTGACGAGGAAAGCGTTTAATTTCAGACAGGGATCTCATTGTACAAAGGTCTGATATCGTTAATTGTATCTAAATACACGTTTGATAAATGAGTTCCTCGCCGACATTATCGATCGCGTAAACTCGATATTATTCGTTTCATTTAAGAAGATTGAAAATAAATAATGATTCTATATAAAAATCAAGGAGTACTTCCCACGTTTGACTCTCATTTTGTGTTGCGCCAAATATATCCTTATTAGGTGCAACGCAGAACTCGAGGGACACTTGATAACGGTTCGAGCATAGCAGTCCAAATTCGTTGCGGCCCGTAATTTTGCTGTCTGAAAAGAGGGATAGAAAAAGAGATAGAATTAAAGTGAGAATGAAAAGAGGGAGAGATGAGGAATAAGAGGGAGATGACGATTATGGCGGATACTGACATCTCTTCTCCCCTTCAACTCGTCGATGTTTTCGAGCGGACCGACAATTTATTTTCATTTATGTTCTACTTACATACTACTGCGAGCGTATGCAACGAGAGTCAAACATCGTGTCAAGTAGGATGCTAATACTGGAAAAGCTTGTCTATTTGTATTACGCACCGGTGCCGTTCAAATCTCGCTTCCGCTTAGTGAGATGTTACCTGCGGTAGCTAGTTGTAGTTTCGATGAAAGCTTAAGCTAATTTCCACGGACGAGATAAATGTTACAACGTTCATAATGAGAGAACGTTTTGCTATTACTGTCGTTAATATAACTTCACTTTCTTGCTCGTAATTTAAACGTGTATATTTTCTTTTTCATCCTTCAATTTTGCATCGCTTTTTTAAAAATTTTTTTTTCTCCTTTTTTTATTACCGCTAACATATCGGTTTTTCATTATCATTTTGATCATTCGATGATCATATCGTATCCGAGAATGTCATCCATTATCATCGACCACATTAACCACCAGTACGTTCATCGATATCCGAACCGGGCGTACTGTGTTCCAGCCGTGAATTTTCAATCGATCGCACCATTGCTGCTGTCGTATCAAATTATCGATTGTGCCGTTTCTGACGATTCGTAAAATATAGAAGCATATGTAGATAGGGAGAACTATCTATATCATATTTAACACTGAATTCGAAATAAAAATAAAGAGTGCATTGTTGTAACGTCGTTAAATAATTTGAATGGATGGAAGAAAGGTAACGATCAAAGGAAAGGACACTGTAAGTTTCGTATAATTTCGACAGTAGTATATTTCGAGCGAGATTCTCTAACGGAATTTGATTAGCATATCAGTACACAGGTGCACGAAGGCTCCAGTTGCAAGGTTCCTCGAATGCGTAGCATCCTCTTCTACGAAGTTCGATAAGCTAATTGGCAAGCCGAATTCGCACCTCGAAATACCTTCATGATGTAGTTGCGTTATCTCTCTCTCCACTCTCCCCTTTCCCTTTCCCTTTATGTACTATGTTTCATGTATGCTTCGCTTCTATTACGCGCAATATTGCATGATCAGAACTCGATCATTCAGGCATTGATCTTCCCTTTCAATCGATCTATTTCTTTCTCTCTCTCTTGCTCTAATCTTTCACTTCGTTCCACCATTAGCCCTATCATCGAACTAAATTACTTCGATTACCATTAGAACTTAACACGTGTAAGTCGTTTTAAAGAAAATACCTTTCGAATAGCTAAAGGTACTTTATCTGTCATTGTTTATTTGCGTTCGGAACGATTCTGAAAGATCCACTGACTGAATTCAGAGTGGCAAGAGACGGTATAGTTCGTTTCGAAAGTCCATTTGGTAAACCCAATGACTATCGAGTCGGGACGATTTTCAGCAACGAGAGAATAACGGATTCGCGTCAGTAAATCAAATTTATATGAAGGGGTATTATAGCGCACGGTATGGTATATCTACGCTGTTAACGTTTATCTGCTTAAGTTCCTCACGTTCTGGCTTTTCTTTGAAGAAGAAAAAATGAGAGAAGAACAGATACTTACCGAGATCTAATACAAAACGTTTTTGTTTTGTAAGAGAAAGGGAAAAAAAAAAAAAAAACAAAATATTTTTTTAAAAGTATTTTTTAATGTTTGAACGATAAAAACGTAAACAAGAATGAAAGATAAAGAGGAAAGAGAGAAAAAGGTAGATTAAAACGTTATAAATTAGTAAGGCTGTTTATTACGGAGAGTTCTTTTTGTTGGGTTACATGCTTTAATAAGGCCATAGTAAAGGAACAAAAAGAAAGAAAGAAAAAAAAAATGAAAGAAAGAAACAAAAAAAAAAAAATTCTGCATCATCCAAGTTCTTTATGGAACTTTATGAGTTTCATAATGACGCACAGGCGCATCTAGATTTTTACGAACGCGGCGCATC